TCAGGAAAGCAACTTAGAGAAATCAAGGCATGGTCTATTTTGAAGACCTTTGCTTTCAGCTGATATCTCCTTCACTGGAAATAAATAAGGGAATTGCAAAAGACCTGTATCAAATTCTTTAGCAATTGCCATTTTATACAGATTATATTGCTAAAAATAATAATCTGTGTGCTGGAAAAAATATATCTGGGGTCATTTTAAAGCCACAAGTAGCATTACTAAATCTACAATATTCAGGGGGCTTTAAGATCAAACCATCAGTTCTTTCAGTGCTCCATGAAGTGGATCTTGATCCTAAACTGTATTTTTTAGCATAACTGTTATAAATATTCAACAAAAACAAATGCTTTTTGTTGTGATCCTATGAATATTTTCTATCATATCCTTAATGTGATAATTCTCAATTAAAACACTTTCTATGAATTCGTATTTTTACTGAGATACTTGACTGAGATACTTTCCAAGTTTGTGAATTATAGTTTTAAGTAAAATACCACTGTCTTAAGAAAGAACAAGAAACTGGAAGTGAGGAGAAGCAAGAAGATACAAAATACAAAGAGAGTTTACTACTAACAAGGTAACAGGTTGAGTGAAAAATAAATTAAATACTACTGAAGAAGGAGTACCATGAAGGAATAAGTGAGCTGCAATGAAAGAAGAGAAATAACTAAAAATGTACAACACAATAAACAAACATCATGTTTAACTACATATCTGCCTTGATATATATATAACCCAAAGTGCAAACACCTCAGACAGTCATGACTGCATCTGAATCCGGAGTGAAGGTCAAGGCCATCTCTCAAATGGTCATTTTGTTATACAGGCATCATCAGCTATTGCTGTGTAGCATGTTATAGACCCTGTTACAGGCTAGGCACATTTCAGACATTTGTGCATGGACAGTCCTGAGCAACTGGTCCTCAGAAAGGTACAAAGGCTTTAGCAGAAGGAGGGGAAAAAAAACCCCAAGTTAAAAAGATTGACAAAGTATTTGAATTCAGCTTGGTTTCGTCCAAGGATTTTGTTGCTGAAGATATTTGCCAATGCTTTTTTTTCTTTTCCTTAATAATTAATTGGTTCTTGTACAATCAGTTGCAAATATCGGTCTTTTAGTTTGTAGGGAGATTTTTTTTATTTAATGCAATGCTCAGCAATGGCCATTGTAGAGGGTACAAATTTCACTACAGTTACTTGTGTCATTCAATGATTTATTCCATATATAAACCACTTAAAAAGAACATTGATTCTAACGTCAAATCCAATACATCATGCATGTTACAACCGATGTTACTAAATGAAATCATAATTATTTAACTATTTGCCTGTTTGTGTTGTATAACCTAAGGGTTTGGCAGTAGCAACTCCAACTTCATTTCATTGTGAGAGCTTGGAATTTTCCAGAACCTCATTCCAACATGCTAGTCTTTGCTGCACAAAAGCACAGCTTGGCCATTCCTCTGCTATTAACCTACAGAGATATTTTTTAATAAGAAGCAATTTTGCACCTGCATCATAAGGAGATTTTTGCATAACACATTTACAGATAATATCCCTGAGTTAATAAATGCCTATTCGATGATTTAAAAATCCTGTATTTACTTTGTAATATTTTCTTTACTATAATCTTAAATACTAACATTTATATAAATACACACTAAAGGTTTCCTCAATGGTCATATTCTGGTTTTAATATATAGATTTTTTTTAAAAAAACCAAACCATCTATGAGCAGAAAAAAAGTGCCCAACAATTAGCAGAAAAGGACATTTAATTTATTTGACAATGGTTTGATCACTGTTTCCAGATTAGCAGTAATCGGTTTAAAAAGTTTTAAATGAAATGACATTAATTTGGAAAAACTATTAAAGACTGTAATTGTGAGAAATACCAAAGCTGTTTATCCAAGGATTGATTACATAATCAGCTTGATGACATTAGGAAATCCTCACATTTGAGAAAGGAATGGTCACTGATCATTTGCAATTAGTTCTGCAAGTATATGCAGTAACTTTTCAGTTATCATGAAGAACACATTAATAATTACAGGGCACGTCTGACTTTTAAAAATCGGTTTCCAATCCTCTTCCTTCACCACAGGATACTATGGTTTGTCCCATAATTTCACACAAGACTGCTACAAATATTCTTTTGTAATATTAACTTTTCAGCTCATAAGAAATAAATCACAGAAAGGTCACACTGCACTTTCTAAGGGACAACAATAAAAGGCAAATTATTTTTCTCAGTGGATTCAAGAAAGGGTTTCTATTTTACTGCAGTCTATGGAGGTTTTAATCAGAAAATTTTGTTGTCATCAGATGAATCAATTCCACTCCCATATTGTAGTAATTCCCTCAGGCACAGCTTATCTTCCCTCAGCCATATTCTTGCACTGAGATATAAATTGATTTAGAAATCTCATACCAGGGAGACTATTGCACAGACAGTAGTGGTTTTCTCATTTTTGCCTCAATTCCTTCTCCCATTCACATCATGGTTGTTGCAGGTGCCACAGAAAAGGTCCTGTCAGTTTGCAAGGGCATGCTTTACCACCATGGAGCAAAGACTGACTTATTAATTAAGTAAAATGATTTCTCCAAGGATCTGAAACTCATCCTCACTCTCCTTTTCAAGACTGTAGTAGAAGCAGGGAAGCAGCCTGTTCCTATCCAAAAGAGCTTGCCTTGTTATCACTCACACATGGTCATTCATGCCCACCATTGCCTTTAGGTTCTTCTGAAGGCAAGTCATATCTGAAGGAAGGAAGATCTTGACAGGATATAGAGAGTGTCTCTCCTAGCAAATTAAAAAGTATCAGAAAACATTTCCAAGCTCTAGAACTGGGTTGACATGATTTCACTGTTAGAAACTACCCTGGTATAACACAGGCCACACAGCACTCTTTCGAGCAACACCAGGACTACTTAGGAGCTCCTCTGGGTGAGTAACCATTCTTTCTAGACAGCAAGCGTGGGTGTGCCCTGTGCTGAAACTCAAATGAGATTAGTCCTATGGACAGAATAGGTAGCTCCTTAAACCAGTCATGCCCCAGTGCCCATTGAAAGCAGGCACTTTCAATGTATGACCATAGAGGCAGCTGAACAGTCCATAAGTAAGCTCTCTGTTTTTTGCATTGTCACAGGAAGTTATTGCACAAAATGAATGCAAAGTTTGGGGTGGGGCTTCAAAGGTTCAAGGAAGCACAAAGCATCATTGCTTGCACTGTGTCAGAGACTGTGGACCTGAGGAAATATCTGC